TATCCTGATAATTTTACAGGTATGAAAGTATTTTAAAACACCAATGTTATTCTTTAAACATATCTCAATTGTGCAACTGACAAATTCTACATCAATTATTTTCCAATAAAGCTGTTATAAAAAGACTAAGACACAAACCAAGAAAGAAACAAAAACTGAAAATTATGAGTAGGGAATGACTGAGTGGTTGCTTTAGAGGAAGATGCTGAAAGAAAGCCTTTCTCAGTGGGAGAACTGATCAATGGCCAAGGTCAAAATGGTAGGTGCTAGGAAGCTTATAGCTTGATGGACATGTTTATCATGCCCAGGGTCCTCACTAGACATAATGCATATTGAAAGTAGTGCAATGTTACTTTTCTTTTCTTTTGGTACCAGGGATTGAACCAAAGGGCACTTAACCACTGAGGCACAACCCAGCCCTTTAAAAAAATTTTAAAAGTTGCTGAGGCTGGCTTCAAACTCGAAATCCTCCAGCCTCARTCCCTTGAGCTGCTGGGATTACAGGCAGGTGCCACTGTGCCTGGCTGTGCAACATTTCTTTAGCTGACTTAGTCTTAGCCTACTGAACTCTCTTTCCCACTCTGATCAGGATGGTCAGAAAACTGAGTGGGCCTGAATTTTAATGTCATTGCTGCTTATAGGAGAGAGAATTTGGGCAAGAAAGAGAAGACAGTTTTTTTTAAAAAAAAATGTATTAAGTTTGAAAATTTCTATTTTCAATAAATGATTTTGTTTAATCTAGAAAAGAAGAAGTAAAGGTTGGGGAGAGGTGGGATAGGTAAAGGGGGGAGAATCTCTATGTAAATGAAGATTATTTGCTTTTGTATTAATGTAGATTGCCTTTAACCGAGAAACAAAATCTATTGCAGGGTATAGGTAAAGTAGCAGAACATTTGGAAATATAGAGTATCTCATCATAAAGCTGTTTTTCATTTCTTTAAAAAGCAGTAAGGATCAAGATTTTTAAAGCTTGCCTCACTTTTGGTTGTACACTCTCAAATGCATTTTTCTAGAGGATCTAAAATATATGACCTATTTTTTATGGTAACCATATTTCACTATAAATAACAATAAATATTCTTATGTGACAGCAACTTCCAGAGACAAAAAAATTTTCCTCTTTTCCTAAGTAGTATAATGATTTTAACAAAAGCTATGAATCAAGACATAGCCTTTTATATGCAAAAAAATAATAGAACTAGCACTTAAAGTAGCAACCTGACAACTCACAAAAAGTATTGTAAACATATCATGCCTCATTAGTTCAGTTATGTCTCATTTGATGTCAGTCATCTTATTCAATATAGCAAGTATGTGCASATATTTTTCCTTTAATTTTTTTTTCTGTTCTGTGTATCTGACCATCAGTGGAGGAAGGGAAGTCATTACCAAGTAACCAGAACAATGATAAAAATTATTTTAAAATAATAAATAACTCAACTTTATCTTGATATTGCTTAAATTTAAGGACTGAGAACAGGGTATAGTTGCATGTCTGTAATCCCGGTGCGGCTGCTGAGGCAAGAGGACAGACTCAGTAATTCAGTGAGATTCTCAGTAACTCAGTGAGACCCTGTTTCCAAATAAAAAGTGAAAAGAACTGGGGCTGTAGCTCAGTGTAAAGCACCTCTGGGTTCAATAGCCACTACAAAAAAAAAAAAAAAAAAGAGAGAGTTCCCCATTTTTCCAGACAGCTGCAAATGGCTTCCCAGGACAGGGAAGCTTACCAAAACCCTCACATGTAAAATGATAGCATGAGATGAAATAGTCTTGGAAATCATATGCTTTCAGAAAGAGGACCCTGAAGAGCATCTACTATAGACCTCTCCTTAATAGTAATAGTAGCCACATGTGATGGTATACATCAGAAATTCCAGCTACTCCAGAGACTAAGGCAGGTAGATTGCAAGTTCAAGGCCAGCCTGGGCCTTTTTTGAGACCCTGTCTCAAAAAAATAAAAAAGACTAGGGATATAGCTCACTGGTAGAGTGCCCCTGGGTTCAATCCCCAGACACCCCCCCCACACACACACACATACATACACAAAATGGTGGTGATGATGGTGATAATATCATTGATATCACTCATTATCATTATGAGAAATTCCAAGGCCAGTAGAGACTAAGTGATCTATTAAAGGTATATCTAATTAATGTCAGATCCAGATCCAGGGCTTGAACTTAGGTCTGTTGACCTTAGTTCAGCTTATGTCAGTTATGATATTTGTAACTGATTTTGGGGTAGAATAGTACTCCTTCATTTTTTATTCTTCTCATTATTGATGTTGTTATTGTTATTTTAAATTTTGTTTTAATTTAAAAAAATCTTTCTAGCTCACTACTTATTGGCCAAAAAGAAAACCCCTGACATCATTTTAAAATCAATATCATCAGTGTATCTTGAATAAAATTTGATTTTTAACATATAAAAATATCTTAAAAATAAGCAGATGTAGTTTTGTGTGTTGGAATTTTATTTTTAAGGAAGTTATTATAGATTAGAATGATAACTTCTCATCCTGCCTAATGTGGCATTACTGGACAGATTTGAAAAAAAAACAGTAAAATTCAAAGGTAATGTTCATTAATATAAATAAAATTYCCAAAGGAATACTACTATTAAGCTCACAGGTCTAATCAATGATATAAAAATGCATATTTTTAGAAAGWTTTCCTGGGCAAATATTTGCTAGAAAAGAATTGAAGCTATGATATAATTTGACAAATACTTGGAAACTTATATTTCTTCCAGAATTATTTCTTACATTCTTAAAAGGTGTAACATGTTCTTTAGCACCATAAGTCCCCTAGCCAACTGTATTTTAAAACACTTTTCATAATGACCTTATTATTAATTTTTAGGATAGTAACATTCTGACATTTAAAGATGTCCTTAATCTCATGTGCTAGGCACTGTGATTGGCTCTGAGAATACACATTGGTCTCTGCCCTCACATCAATTGTCTATTGGTATACATCTTTCCTGTTGTACTTATTATTATTGGAAAAAGATGGTATAAATTTAGAAAGTTGGGGCTGGGGACATGGCTCAAGCGGTAGTTCGCTCGCCTGGCATGTATAGGGCACTGGGTTCGATCCTCAGCACCATATAAAAATAAAAAATAAAGATGTTATGTCCACTGAAAACCAAAAAATAAATATTAAAAAATCTCTCTCTCTCTCTCTCTCTCTCTTTAAAAAATTTTAAAAAAGAAAGTCAAAATTGAAATCAATATAATTTATTTTTAAGCCAACACTATAATTCAACTAAAAGACAAAATTTTTGGATTTTGAATGTCTTATAGTTTGAAAAAACTATCATTTTTCATTTGATCTTGAACAAATATACTAATGATAATTTATGCAACAGGAGGGACTGCCTGTGGGAAATAAAGTTGCAATGAGCTATACCCTTTACACATTACAAGGATTAAATTTTATTACAACCCAACACATTTTCATTAAAGATGTATAACAATCACTCTTTTAATTTATTTAATAAAGTATAGTTCTAAGCTTGAGATTGACAGCCTTAAAAGATCAGCAGTACTGTTTTTGCTATTCTTCATTTAGTGGTTGAAATATTAACATTCTCAGTACCTCTGGAGAAATTGTTATAGTATGAAACTATGTGGTGACAATTTTACACAATTGTATTAAAACATTTATGGTCATATAAATGTGTAGTAAGTCTCTGAGATTATATGTCAAGTTGTAATCAGTGAGACTAAAATGTTGATACCATTTTCAATCTTCAAGTTAAACACAAAAATCTTGTGTTAAACTTTTCCAATCCATTTGAGATGGTGGCATGCTGATAATCAGACACTCTGGCTCCTAGTACCTATTTGGATAATTCCTATTGCTCTGCCTTGGCCAGTTCATTGTACCTCTTCATATCTCACCTTATTCACCTATGAAAAGAGTACTAGGCCAGGATATCCCCAGGATCTATGTATTATTTCTAAACTTTAAATATCTGGACCTTTCTTTTCTTGCTGCTTTTATCATTCCAGTTCAGTGGTTTCTCTAGTCTGATCCACAGACCACATGAATCCCCCAAGCTTCCATAATGAGGATCACTTGCAACATCTGTTAACATGTGTTTTTGGGTGTCCAGACCTTCAGAATCAAATCTCTGAGGATAGGGGTCTGGAGACCTACATTGTTATTAAGCACCCATTTCAATATGCCCATGAACTCTTCACATTCCCTTATGTAGACTGAATGTGGGTGAAGAATGATAGGCACTGAACCAGTTTTGGATTGCTGCTTTTATATGTTGTGCCCAGATCAAATAGCATCTTCTTTTAGAATTGAACATTACCTGACACCGCTTATTCTCAACCTTTGATGTTTCTGTCAAAACTCAGAGGCAGTAGTAAAAGTCTTGTTTAACATCCTGTTACAGTTAATTTAATTCATTTTGTCCTACCTTTGTAAAGTTTCTAAATATTAATGAATACATGATTAGTTAATTTTAGCATGATTGACTTCATCATATTATAGATTTTTTCCCTTACTGAGGTTTAGCTCAGGGAATATGATATTTCTTAATAAGATTCTCTAGTCATTTCAGAAGTAGCTGCTTGAGGTTCCTAATTTTTCATGGTATCCTTTTCTATACCACTTTTAAATCTTATACCTAATTAAGCTCTTCTCTTTTTGTCTCACAAAGGATCTTTAGGGTAGGGGAGAGAATTTCCTATAATATTCTTATTGATTGTATTTATTCTCTAAAACTTTTCATCACTGTTATTGGTAACACACATACATGCGCACATGCACACACACACACACACCACATTTTTGGATACCACAGCATTGTACTATAGCAGAGAAATTGGTTGTCTCATGGAGTGGCTGAAATAGCAGTGAAGATTGGAAGAGTGTGGACTGTCCTCTTGCTAGGCAATATGKAAATGATAATTTTATTTGAAACCTACAAGTGTTCCTGTGTGGAAAAAGAGTGTCAATMTCTAAATTACATTCTCATTACAGACATAAAGGAGATGAATCTCAGAAGTGGGTGTTTGGAACGGATGGCTGTATTTATTCTAAGGTAAAGACTTTATATGTCACAACTTTTATTCTAAAGCTTTTCTGTTTCCATATTTCTATAATATGCACGATTTTTTTATTTTTATTTTTTATTGGTAAATTATAATTATACATAATAGTGGGATTCATTATGCCATATTTGTTCATGCACATGGTATAATTTGGTCAATCTTATTCCCAAGTACTTCCCTTTCTTCTTTGCCCCAATACACTTACTATACTTTACCATCTCTCTTCTATTATTATTATTGTTATTTTTATTATTTTAGTTATTATATTTTAATTATATATGTAAGTGGCATTCATTGTATTATGTTCATACATGGACATATCATGATTTGGTAGATTATGTTCCCCAATATAATAGAATGAGAAAACATTAAACCTTTCATTTCCTGAGGCTAGTTTATTCCATTTACYATGATGTTCTCCATTTTCATCCATTTACTAGCAAATGACACAATCGAATTYTTCTTTATGGCTGAATAAAACTCCACATTTTCTTTGTACATTCATTTCTTGATGGAGACCTAAACTGGTTCCATCACTTGGCTAAATATTGGTATACATGTATTATTATAATATGTTGATTTTAGTTATTTTGGATAAATATCAAGGAATGGGGTAGCTTGATCTTATAGAAGTTCCTTTTCTGGTCTTTTGAGGAATATCCATACTGCTTTCCAAAGTGGTTGTACCCATTTGCATTTGCACCAACAATGTATTAGTGTCCCTTTTACCCCATGTCCTCACCAGCAATTATTGTTATTTGTATTTAAAAAATGTTTTTAGTTAGAGATGGACACAATAACATTACTTATTTATTTTTATATGTTCCTGAGGCTCAAACCCAGTGCCTTACCCTCTATGCTATGCAAGCACCCTACCACTGAGCTATAACCCCAGCTATTATTTGTATTTTTTTTTGCAGGGCGGGGGGTAGTAATGAGGGTTGAATTCAGGGGCACTTGACCACTGAGCCACATCCCTGCCCTATTTTGTATTTTATTTAGAGACAGGCTCTCACAGAGTTGCTTAGTGCCTCACTTTTGCTGAAGTTAGCTTTGAATTTATGATCCTTCTGCCTCAGCCTAGCTGCTGGGATTACAGGTATGTGCCACAGAGCCTGACCCTTATTTGTATGTTTGATGACTGCCATTGTAACTGGAGTGAAATAAAATCTCACTGTAGTTTTGATTTGTACTTCTCTGACTGCTAAGGATATTGAATGCTTTTTCATGTATTTGTAGCCATTTTTATTTCTTCTTTTGAGAAATATCTGTTTAAAACTTTTTGCCCATTTATTTATTGGGTTATTTGTGGTTTTTATGTTAGGATTTTTGAGTTCTTTATATATTCTGGATATTTTTTTTCTTTTCTTTTATTAGTTGTTCAAGACAATACAATGATCTTGACATATCATACATTTGATTCAAATAGGGTATGAATTCTCATTTTTCCATGTGTACAGATTGCAGGATCACATTGGTTATACATCCATGTGTATACATACAGCAGAATATTCTGGATATTAATCCCTTGTTGGATGAGTACCTGAAGAAGATTTCGTTCTGTTCTGTAGGCTCTCTTTAMCATTCTTATTTGTTTGTTGTTCAGAAACCTTTTAATTATATGTCTTCCCTTTTGTTGATTTTCAGTTTTATTTCTTGAGCTTTAGGGGTCTTATTAAGGAARTAGGTCCTTAAGTCAATTTGTTGGAGAGTTGATCCTATGTCTTCTAACAGTTCAGTGTTTCTGGTCTAATTCCTAGGTCTTTGATCCACACTCTAYTGATTTTGTGCAGGATAAAATAGATGGGAGTTTTATTCTTCTATGTAGGAATATCCAGTTGTCCCAGAACCATTTGTTAAAAAGGCGATCTTTTCTCCAAAGTAAGCTTTGTGCACCTTTGTTAAGGATCACATGACTGTACGCTATTTCCAAATARGGTCACATTCACAGATTCCAGGCTGTGTTCAACTTATCATTTTTAAAGATGTAATTCAACATATAACACATAGTGTGTCAGTTATTGATTTATTGCCTCTCAGTTCCAGTCCTACTCTTTACCTGCCTTGGGACCAACTTTGCAGCAGAGTGCTGCCAGTGGGGCATACTCCCATGAATACTTTATCCAAGCATAACTCATTTGGGTGGTACTTTAATCCTGTTTGTTCTACTATAAGAAAATACCAGTAATGGGTAATTTATAAACATTATAAATTTATTTCTCACAGTWAAGTCCAAGATCAGGATGCCAGCAGACTCTGTGTCTGTTGAGGGCTGCTCTCTACTTCTAAGATGGCACCTTGTTTCCACATCTTCTGGAAAGGACAAGAATGCTTTGTCCTCACGTGGTATTTGGGATGGAAGAGAACAAACCCACTTCAGTCCTCTAATAAGRGTATAATTCTCATCCATGAAGATTTTGACCTCATAACGTAATCACCTTTTAAATGTCCCATCTCTTAATACTATCACACTGGTGATTAAGTTTCAGCATAAGGATTTTGGGAGAGACATTCAGACCCTAACAAGTTGCTTTTTAGTAGAGTTATGTTAGCAGCTATGCACCTTCCATTAGATGACTTTTACTGGCATTCCATGGGCCTATGGAATGTGCCATTCACATGGTGAATCCACTGGTGTGACACCTCAGCGACTTCTTTGACAATRAGTGAGTCAGGATGTGCCTTCTATGATATGAATTGGATCTCAGCCTTGGGTCAGGCCTCTTTCTTGGGTGTTTTTTTCTCAGATCTAGCAGCAGTAGCTTCTCATAACATTTGCTATTTATATATTCTTGAGTATTCTCTTTAACTCTTAATAGCCACTCCAATCACTTGTCACTCCATTGTCTTTATGCTTATCATTTATAGTAAACTTAAACTGCTATATAGTAAACTGTTATGTAGTTTCTATCTCCTTACTGAACTCTRGCTGATAAACATGGAAGCATTTTTCTGTACTATTTTATAAATACATGGCTGAGCTGTCATTTTGTGACATCCTACATCATTTTAGAAATTTAGAGAGTTTGATAACAATTAAATGTAAAAATTTATCATAACAGCATTTTCCCTGAAAAAATTATTTATTATAATAGTACTGGCAAATATCCTGACTCTATTCACTAGCTTAATCATGACTCTAAATCTTTAACTTTTGCTCATAAGCAAGGAATTTGACACAACCTTAAAATGTCAAGGTATTTAAAAAATTACCTCTACATAATTTCACTCAAAGATTCATTTCTACTTTCCCCTCATCCATCCTTCATCACATTTCTGATAACCGTATTTTTGAGGTGGAGTAAGATTCTAGGTAGTTGGAGAGAACTCACAGGAAGARTGAAGCTTGTACATCTTGGTAAAAATATAATGTGCCAAAATGTCTCTTCAGCTGTGTGGCTTGGAGCTACACCTGAGAACGTAATTGGGACACATCTGAACATAGTAGACTCCCATTACTGGGAGTTGTAATTCTGTCTTGTGCCTTGCTTTTCYTACCAACAGACATCAAAGAATGGAACCAAGGTTTAAGTATATTTTTTTCTTTTCTTTTCCCAAATGTAGGTGCTTAAATATATACTTATCTTCTGTCCTTTTTATCTCTTCTTTTCTCTCAATTTAAAAATTTCTAATTTCTTAACCATATATGGCTAACTTGCAATGATACACACTTTCATRTTTCAAATATTAATTTGGAGCAGGTATTAATTATAAAACTCCTGCTCAAACACAATCACTAATAATTTTGTTGCAGTTGTTCTAGATTCAAAGAGAAAATTAAGTATTAATGAGAAACTTCATTCTTTCAGAGGTGTAGAAATTTTGATTAACTCTAAACTTAGTCATATGTATCACTACYTCCATTTTGTTAAGGATAGAATGGAGAACAATCTTATAATTATTTGAAGCTGGATTATGAATGAAGCTCAAGTCATTTTTTTTTGAAAGACAGGATTACTGCTATTAACAAACCTTGTCTCCACTAYTTATGTGGCTATATGATATTAGGCAAGTCATCTAACCTTTCTAAGCTTCCCATTCTTCATTTGCAAAATGGAGAAATTAACACTAGCATTGTGAGCATTTGGTACAGATCCTGGCCTATAACCAATAGATAATTTGTAGCCAATAATGATAATGATTATGAGGAAATTTAAATAGATGTATTTTATTTGAATGAGGTTTTTTTCTTTTGTTCTGAGTGTTTTCTACTCCATTCTTCTACTCATTTGCAAAGATTAAATTACATTATTTCCTGTATGCAATTTATCAGTTTCAGCTAAATTAAAGATTTAAATTAAACATGAGAATAGAAGAAAACATGGATTAAAGCATCTAACTAGCTGAGTAGTAAGTAGATATTTTTAGAAGCATGCAAAGACAGACTACATTAAGGAAAAGACCTCATTGGATATATAAGGATTTTAAAAACCTTCTAAATCTAAAATAGTTTGAGCAATAGGTAAATATGATAAATAAGGTAGGTAGTCTCCCATGAGACTGCAGTCAGGATGTAAAGCAGGTCTGCARTCATCTAAAGTTTGATCAAAGTTGGAAGACAATTGACCTTCAAATACACTAACACATTGCAATTGACCAGAGGTGTTAGTTCCTTGCTGTGTGGGCCTCTCCAGAATGCTGTTCAAAACATAAGCTAGTGAACCAAGGGAGGGAGAGGAAGGAAGCAAGACAACACAGTGGAAACTACAGTGTCTTTTGTAACCTAATCTTAAAARTGGCATCCACTACTTCTGCCAAATTCTTTGGGTCACACAGGTCAACCCCCATGTAATGTGGGAGGGGACTATACAAAGATATGAACACTTAGAAGCAGGGAACATTGAGGACAATCTAAGAGACTGGTACAATATTCTTGAGCATCTGTTTAGCAACATTTATCAAAATCCTTTAAAAAATTGTATTCTTTTGAATTAAAAAAATCCCACTTACAGCAATTTACCCCAAGGAATTAATCAATAATATGCACTAT